ATCACTGAAGTTGGCCTCTTGGACTGTCTTGGAGGCCTTTTGGACGCTTCTTGGGTTGTTTTGGGCTCTCTTGGACCATCTGAGCGGTCTTGGAGGCATTCTCGGACCATCAGGGAAGCCATCCTGGGCCCATCTTGGGCTCTTCTGGGGCCATCTTGGCCGTGCGGGAGGGCATCTTGGCCGTCTTGGAGGCCGTCTTAAGCGGACAAGCTGACGGACGGGAAGCGCAGCTGGAAGAGTTCTCCTGGTGGCCGGCGCAACGGACCGAAGCCCCAGGATGAGTTCTTTAGAAACAACACAACCGCCTGAAGTTCATCACGCCGGGCACCCCTGTGACAAGCACAGGGGGCGGCGGATCTAGTGGTCCTCGGTCCATCTCGTTGCCGCCTTTTGGCTCATGGGCAAAAGGCCTCTTTGAGTCTCTCGGGCGTGAGGTGTTTTCTTGGGGGCCCATGGGGGCTTCTTGGGGCCTCCCGTGGGCATGTAGGGATAATTTTCGGGGCCAGGTGCGGGCTTCGGAGTGGGCCCCTAAGAGGGGCCACGAGCGTCAATTCGAACCGCAATTCGGAACGCTCTGCACAAAAAAGCAGATGCCCAAAGCGACGAGTCTTGCGAACATCGGAACATATTCCTACGCCTCCCACCGATTTTTTTGTGGCTCGTCTACACGGGCTTCAACGACGGCCCAAGTGACCCCCAGAGAGGCCCAGCTCGGCTGCGCTGGACCACCTCAGAACATGATGGCAGGTTGGAGTCCGAACCACGTTCCCGAGGCCGTTCGAAAAATCACGCGACAAAGAACCCTCTGGCGTTAGGGAAGGTTTATGAATGCTCAGAAATACCAGGGATCCATTGCCTGGGGGCCGTTGAGACGTATCCATAGATTTTAGTTCAGTTCGCTCGAAGGGACCCCAGAACACTCCACTTCGCGCTTCGCTGCATTGTTGCATTCGAATTTCGCAGAACCGTTGAAAAGCGCCCAGGAATTAAGATCGCTCAGAACTTGTCTCAGCATCGTATGTCTGGGCCGGGAAGACTCGAGGCAACCAGGATTCGTTTGCAATCCATGGCTTAGGACAATTAGCCATGATGGTATACGTAACATGCACATGACAATGGGGATGATGTTGAGGAGGGAGGATGAGGAGCAGGAGGAGGAGGAGGAGGAGGAGTAGGAGGAAAAGGAGGAGGAGGTGGAGGAGTTGGAGGAGGAGGAGGAGGAGGAGGAGGAGGAGGAGGAGGGGGAAGAGGACGAGGAAGAGGGGAGAACGAGAAGGAGGAAGAGGAGGAGGAGGACGAGGAGGAGGACGAGGAGGAGGACGAGGAGGAGGAGGAGGAGGATCAGGACGAGAAGGAGGAGGAGGAAGAGGGGGAAGAGGATGATGCTGCTGCTGCTGATGATGATGATGATGATGACGGTGATGCTGATTATGATGATGATGATGACGACGACGATGATGATGCTGCTGCTGATGATGTTTTGGATGGTGATGATAGTGATGATTATGATGATGATGAGGAGGATCATGATGTTGATGCTGATGATGCTGATGCTGCTGCTGCTGTTGTCGTCGTCGTCGTTGTTATCGTCGTTGCTGTTGTTGTTGTTGTTGTTGTTGTTGGTGTTGTTGTTGTGGTCGTCGTCGTCGTTGTCGTTGTCGTCGTCGTCGTCGTCGTCGTCGTCGTTGTCGTTGTTGTTGTTGTTGTTGTTGTTGTTGTTGTTGTTGTCGTCGTCGTCGTCGTCGTCGTCGTCGTCGTCGTCGTCGTCGTCGTCGTTGTTGTTGTTGTTGTTGTTGTTGCTGCTGTTGTTGTTGTTGTTGTTGTTGTTGTTGTTGTTGTTGTTGTTGTTGTTGTTGCTGTTGTTGTTGTTGTTGTTGTTGTTGTTGTTGTTGTTGTTGTTGTTGTTGTTGTTGTTGTTGTTGTTGATGCTGTTGTTGTTGTTGTTGTTGTTGTTGTTGTTGTTGTTGTTGTTGTTGTTGTTGAACATTATTTATTCTAAAGAATAATTATTGTTGGGCCCCCTGGTGCGCGCCCCCCCTGCGCCGCCTAGGCCGCAGCTACATTTTCATCATTTTCGTGAGGAAGCCTCAGAAAAGAGGGTGTGTACAGGATCCGGTTGTTTTGTTGTAATCCGCTTTCCCTTGCAAAAAACAATAGAAAATGACATTTCTTGTTCTAATATAATCAAATTTCAAGAATCCCTTGCAAAAAATAAGGTAAAGTGGACATTCGCGCGCGCAAGACGAAATCCTTCCAAAACCTTAGTGTTCGCAGCGATTTTAACATAAAAACATCAAAAAACCAATGGTTTTTCAACAAAAAATTGTCAAAATCTCATCCCGCGCGCTCTTGCGGATTCGTAGGAAACCCAACACTTTTTAAACATTTCTGTCAAACGGGCTTTTGCGAGCAACTTTTTCGAACTTCTGCGACAACGGTTGCGCACCTGCCAGGGCCATCATCCCTGTCAAATAATACCATGCGGGACACATTCGTTTTTTCTTCGCGCGCGCACGCCGTCGTCGTCGGCCGCGGGGCCCTGAATAGTAGCCACGGTCGTCCGCATGCCACGAAGTGAAGTGTCCGAACGTCATAGGGCGGGAAGCTGGGTGTGGGTGGTGGCGAAGAGTCGTTTGGAAATTTGGTAGAGCTTGAACCGGCCCCCCCACAAAGTGGGGGTATTGCCCGCCTCCTATGAAAACCCTGGCACTGGTGAGAACGGAGTGTCCCCACGTGCTAGTAATTGTTGTTGTTGTTGTTGAATTCTTATTTCTGAAGAATTATTGTTGATCCCCCCCCCACCGGTGCATACTGTTTTTTCGCAATCAAAGTGTGCCCCTCGACGCTCGCACCCTCTTCTTTTTGACAGGGAAAGTCTTCATGCTCAAACTGGGCCCCTGGCCCCCGGGTTACAACAACAACGGCTCCCGCCTGAGACGTCCTTACAATTCGGCCAGGACCCCCGCTCCCGCCCGAGATTTCCTCGCATTTTATTCAGGAATCGCGCTCTCGCTTGGGACTTCCTTACAATTTATTCAGGAATCGCTCTCCCGGCTCTCTGGAGTCGCGCTCTCGCTGGAGACTTCCTTGCAACTTACTGAAGAATGGCCTTGCGTTGGAATTTCTTGCAATTTGCCCAAGCGCCGCGCTCCCGACACCCAGGCACCCAGGAGTTGTGGCCCTATGTGCATGCCCTTCGTGGCCCCGCTGTCGCCATTTGTGTCCCCCTCACTGTCCTACGTGGCCCAGTTGCTACCCTCAGTGGCCCCATAGTTGCCTTCTGTGGCCCCGCATTATCTGCACCTCGTGGCCCCCGCTCGTTCGCGCTCTTCGTGGCCCCATACGCATTCCCTTCGTGTCCCCGCTGTCGCCCTTCGTGGCCTACTTCGTGCCCTTCGTGGTCCTGCTGTCGTTCTATCTCGCTCTCGCTTTCGCTCGTCGTCGCCGTCGTCGTCGTCGTCGCCGTCGTCTTCGACGTCGTCGTCGTCGTCGTCGTCGTCGTCGTCGTCGTGGTCGGTCCCCTGTCCGTCCCTCTTGGGGTCGGGTCGACGGTCCGCGGCCGCCCCGCCGATCAGCGCTGCCGCTGGCCAGGCCGACGGTCCGCGGCCGCCCCGCCGCTTGCCGGGGCCCGGCCTGTAGGGAAGAAAGGTATACCCCCCAAAAGGGGTTCGATCGAAGACGAAGAGGACGGGTATCGAGGGTTTGGGAAATATGCGTTATTGGACACTCGAGCATATAAGGGCGAACAGTCTTAACATTATTATTATTGTTGTCGTTGTTGTTGTTGTTGTTGTTGTTGTTGTGGTTGTTGTCGTCGTTGTCGTTGTCGTTGTCGTTGTCGTTGTCGTTGTCGTTGTTGTTGTTGTTGTTGTTGTTGTTGTTGTTGTTGTTGTTGTTGTTGTTGTTGTTGTTGTTGTTGTTGTTGTTGTTGTTGTTGTTGTTGTGTTGTTGTTATGTTTGTTAATGTTGTTGTTCATGTTGTTCTTGCTGCTGCTGTTGTTTCTGCTGCTGTTGCTGTTGTTGTTGTTGTGGTTGTTGTTGCTGCTGCTGCGGCTGCTGCTGTTGTTGTTGTTGTTGCTGTTGCTGTTGCTGTTGCTGTTGTTGTTGTTGTTGTTGTAGTTGTTGTTGCTGTGGTTGTTGTTGTTGTGGTTGTCGTCGTCGTCGTCGTCGTCGTCGTTGCTGTTGTTGTTGTTGTTGTTGTTGTTGTTGTTGTTGTTGTTGTTGTTGTTGTTGTTGTTGTTGTTGTTGTTGCCGTTGTTGTTGTAGTTGTTGATGATGCTGATGCTGATGATGCTGACGATGATGACGATGCTGCTGCTGATGGTGATGATGATGAGGAGGAGGGGGAAGGAGAGGAGGGGGAGGAGGAGAAGGAAGAAGGAGGAGGAGGAAGAGGGGGCGGAGGAGGAGGAGGAGGAGGAGGAGGAGGAGGAGGGATGAGGAGCAGGAGGAGGAGGAGGAGGAGGAGGAGGAGGAGGAGGAGGAGGAGGAGGAAAGGAGGTCCCCCTGCCCCTTCCCCCCCCGCCCCCCCTCCCCCTTTCTCCCCGCCTCCGCCCTTTCCTCTTCTCCTGCCTCCTCCTTTCCCCTCCTTCCCTCGTCCCAGTGCTGCGCTCGCTGAAGGGAGCCAGTGCCTGGGACAAGCTGGCCCTGGGAAGCGCAGATGTGCCTCTCGCCACCCCCTCCTTCTCCTCCCCTCTCCGCCCCAAGGGAGGCCCGGGGTCAGCGGGGATCCTGGGATCCGACGTCACCCTGAGATCCGACGCCACGAGCAAAAATGCAACACTGCACGGAACAAAAGATCACGACCAGAGCCACCCCGTTTTTCTGTTGCATTCTGCGAGCCGGGTCGATCCGTGATGGTCCCAAGGCTTGAAATCGGGCGAAAACGCCCGGTGTGTAGAATTTGCAACGCCAGGATCTCAGGGGAGGGTGGCCGCGCGAGAGGCGATGACGGCCCTCACCGCTCGCGCCAGACGAGCCACGTCAGCGCTGGCGGCGGCATGTCGCCGGCGCCGCACTCGCGCCAGATCAGCCACGTCAGCGCCAGCGGCGGCATTGCGCCGGAGCCGCGCTCGCGCCAGACGAGCGGTGGCGGAGGGATCCTGGCTGGCATCGCCAGCCTGCTTGGCGGCCGGGCGTTGCGTAATGGGGGGGTCGTACATGTGGGGGTGGCGAGGGTGGTCCGAAAAGGTACCCAACCGGCACCCAAACGAGCCCCCTTGGGGCTCCAGAGGGGCCCGAAGGGGCACCGCTTCTGACCCCCCCCCACTAATGACCCCCCCATGCAGCCACGCCCAAGGCGGCGGCGGCGGCGGCCACAAGACCTCCTCCTGGCTGGGAGGCTCGAGGGAGCAGAAGGCGGCGACCAGCACGGGGCTTCCGCGGGCCTGCGCGGGTCTCCTGGCACTGGCGCTGCGCCCTCCGCGGCTCGCTGCGCCTCGCCGCGCCGAGCTTCGGGGGGGCCAGCACCGGGCCCCCGCCAAACAAATCCAGGCGGGCCTCCCACGGGTTGTGTCCGAGCTGCTTCCTGGTTCCTCCAGAGGCGGCCACAGCAGCCACGAGCACTATGGCCACGGCGGCATGTCGCACTCGGGCATCCCCGATCCGGACGCCATCAACGGCCAGAGGGAGGCGTACGTTCACTCCCTGGACCATCAGAAGTCCGAGGCGTTGAGGCTCCTGGAGACGCAGCGGGACCAGCAGGTCGACTTCGTGGAGCAGGCGAAGCGGGCGCAGATCCAGCGCCTGAAGAGCGAGATCGCGGAGAAGGCGCACCACCACGAGCACCACATCAAGCAGGTCCACAAGGCCTAGGGGCGTCAACCGAGCCCCCCGCCAATCCTGGCCAGGACCATCCTGGGCCCAGGATCAGTGCACGCGCCTCCGGTCTGGCCAGGGAGGCGCAGTGACACTGACCCTGGGCCCTGACGACGGGAGGTATTTCGTGTTTGCCGGCCTCTCGGAGGCCCTTCCTGGGCCTCGGGACCGGGGACGGTCCAGGGCTCTGGGGGTCGACGCTGTGAACAAAAAATCACGACGTCGGGGGCCTGGGTTGGATTTCCCCCTCCGCCCCCCCCCCTGGCGCTCCCCTCTCATGGCGGGCACCGAAGGCCACTCCTGCCTGGGGGGCCGCTTCCGTGCCCAGACCCCCGACGTCACGTTTTTTCCTCATAACGTCGACCCCCAGAGGTCTCGACCCATTCCCCGGGACCAGTTCTTTCGTCCCGAGCTGTTTCTTGACGGCCCCGAGGCCCGGCTAGGGCACCCACAGAGGTCGGAAATGGCGAGGAACTCCCCGTGCGGTTTTTGCCATTCCTCGAGGGTCAGCGCCCCTCTGACGGGGACTCCACTGGCGGGTACTCTGGCCAGTGGCCCGGCGAACCCCACCCTCCCCGATGTGGGCCACGCTGCACTGCCAGAGAGAGAGGCCCTAAACACTGGCAGTTTTCGGCACCTTTCCACAGTACCCGGTAGGGAGTACCCGTTGCGGTGCCGCTGAGAGGGGGCCTGGGGGTGTAGCTGATGACGGGCAGGGCGAGGGGCCAGGAGGCACCTCGTCTCGGAGCGGTCCGCCACTCTCTCTGAGGGCGTCCTGCAGCGCTCTGGCAACGGCCGCGGCGCCCCACGCACTCCCAGGCTGGCAGCGCTCGGAGATCCCCGATTGTCGTCCCGGCCTGATCTTGTGCTGTTCCTGGCCTCGCCTTCTTCGGAGGTGGATAGACCTCCTACCCTGACACGTCGATGAAGGAATTGGCCGTTTTCGGTTCGCGAGAGGGCGTCGCGGCCGTCATTTTTGCGGGTCCAGGTCCGTCGGTTTCGGTCCCAGGCCGTTTTCACTAAGGGGAGGTTTGCGAAATGGAGGTTTGCCCACCGCCGGTTACTCGGGGGGTCGTAGAAGGAGGGTTCTCCCAAGGTGGGGCTGGGGAGCCAGCCCAGCCGGATGCTCCTGTTCAACGCGTCTCCGCTCTGGACGGCCCCTGGAAGCAGTGCTTCCAGGGGCCGTCCAGAGCGGCTTGTCCCTCCAACCACACCCTTGCCCCTGCCCCACCTCTGTGCCCCCCCGACTTGCGATGCTGCCCCCCAGACCCGAGGATGCGGACCTCCAGCGGAAGCGCGCGGTGGAGGAGATCGAGGAGAAGATCCGGGAGCAGGAGACCCCCTTGGGCAGGCGCCTGTCGCCGGCCCCTGGCGCGGCGCGCCTGGGCTCTTCGCCGCCGCCGCCTTCCCCCTCCACGTCGTCGTCGTCCCCTCCCCTCCCTCCTTCCCTCCCCTGAGATCCGGGTGTCTCATTTTTCTTTTCGGGCCAGGCGTTTTCGCCTCCGTTCGGGCCCCGAGACCCTCACGGGTGGATCCGGCTCGAAAAATGGCTCAGGAAGATAGGGTCTAGGACTCCGGGCGTGATTTTTTCTTGCCATGTTGAAATTTGTTCGCCACGTCGGATCTCGGGGTCTAGGTCTCCCAGGTTGGGTCCGAGCAGATGGGGTCGGAGGGTCGCGCCGCATCGCCGATGTATCGGCGATGCGGCCCGATGTGGAGCCTGACCTTCTCCACGCTGGCGGCGCTGGCGACGGGGCGCGATCCTCCGACCCCCTCGACGTACTCCGACCCCATCTGGGAGGAGGCCTCTGCTCCCTCCCTCCCAGCGTTTCGCTCCGTTGTGGAGCCCCTGGGCCCTCTGGGGCCCTCTGAGGCCCTCTGGTCCTCGTGAGGGATGCTCTGGAGGCCGTCTGGACCGCCCCGAGAATCCTGGGAGTGCCATCGGCCAGGGGCACTTCCAGCAACACCCGACTCGAAGAGAAGAAGCATCGGCAAGAGCACAAACTTTCGACGGCCCGCGCGGGTTTCTGGGATCTGCGCCAGAGCCACCCTGGCGGCGCCGCCGGCGCCGCCCCGGGCGCGCTCCGCGCGCGAGGGAGGGGGGTCCAGCGCAGATCCTAGCATTCCGCGCGGACCGTCGAAAGTTCATGTTCTCGGTAGCAAATCAAGGTAGCCTGGTATGCTCTTTTATGTTTGTCTTTAGCGTCGATTAGCGTCGAATAGCGTCTGGGATTGGATGAGGTAGCGCCCAGTTATCGTCGATTAGTGTCGATTAGCGTCGATTTAGCGTCGATTGGCGTCGACTTAGCGTCGACTAGTGTCGATTCGCAGGAGCCGACAAGATGGTATGGGAGGCTCCCGTGAGTTTCCACCGAACATGTAAACGCAGCTTGTCTTCCTCTGCTTCCTCCCTCCCTCCTCCTCCCTCCGTGCTCCTCCCCGTCGTCCTCCTCCTCGTCGTCGTCGTCGTCGTCGTCGTCGTGGTCGTGGTCGTCGTCGTCGTCGTCGTCGTCGTCGTCGTCGTCGTCGTCGTCGTCGTCGTCTTCGTCGTCGTGGTCGTCGTCGTCGTCGCCGTCCTCCAGGGGCACGGTTCATTAGGGGGGGGAGACGCCTCGACCCCCGATGGCCGCCTGGACTCGCCGACAATGACGCCCGAAGGCGCTTCTCCGCCCAGGGCCGTGCGGCTGCGCTACATATATCGGGCGCCCGTCGCCGATCTGTCGGCGATGCCTCGCCGACAGATCGGCGACAGAGGGCCGAAGTCTCGAGGTCCGAGGCTTTTTTGGGCGCTTTCGTCGGCCCTCGTCGGCTTTCCAGCCCCGGTGTGCCTTCAAGCAGCTGCGCGTCGCCGAGGGCGTTCCGGGGGTGCCCGGATCGCTCCGGACGGCCACCGAAGAGTCGATGTACGACCCGAAAGCAGAAAGCCAACCCAGGGCGCAGGAGGGGTGGGGTCAGCTCGGGCGGGTTCCAGGCCGACGTTGCCCCCACTCGAGCGGGCCCCCCGCATATCGTTGCCCCCTTAGTCCTTCTCGTCCTTCCGCCCTCTTCCTCCTCCTCCTCCTCCTCCTCCTCCTCTGCCTCCGTCTTTCCTCTCCTCTTCCACGCGTCGGCGATCTCGGGCCCGCCTCTCGTCTTCCATCCGCCTCTCTGTCGACCACCTGACCTTCCTCTCTTCTTGGTCGTGACCGCCCGCGTTCGTCCTTCCCTCCTCCTGAGTGCTGCTCCATCGCTCCTCCTCTTGAACAGCAACCCCTGTCGCACCACCAGACCTTTCGGCAGGCCGGGCCGGGCGTTGCGTAGGAGACCGCCTGGCCACCTGTTGTCTTGAGGCTTCAGCGAAGCCAGCTGTCACACGGACGGAGCGCCGCGCGCAGTCCGCAACATGTCCACCAGTCGCACGGGTAAAAGGGGCTCTCGCCTTGGCTTCCCCGAACACGTTGGTTACCGAGGGGGCGGCACGGTGCGGCAGTTGCGCGGACGCAGGGCGGCCTCTGGGTCAAGAGGGGGACGCCGCCCGAGACACTCGCAGTACCTCCTGCCAGGAAGGTGAGGCATCCGCAGCTGCTGCTGCTGCACGGGTGCAGGGGGGGGCAGCTTCTTCAGAGTGCGGGCTGCCGCGGAACGCCGCCCTGCATCTCAGGACCGCGCCTCGCCGCATTCCCCATCGCGGGCGGAGGGCGGTCGCTTCAGGACGGAGCTCCCGCCGGAGCTGTGGGCCCCCGTGGTGCGCTCGTCTGTCAAGGGGGGCGCTTCCCGCAGGGAAGACACGCATGCTTGTACGGACTACCCAGGAGGGGACCTGGGATGGGGGGGTGCACGGCAGCATCGTTGATACATCTTGGGTCTACTTTGGTTCTGCTTCTCCTCATCCTCTTCCTTCCTCCTCTCCACCTCCGCCTCCACCACCTCCTTCTCCCCCCTTCCCCCAGGAATCGGTGTCATGTGCAAGTGGGCTGCCACACTGCGTATTCCCACCTTTTCTTAAGAACATGTGCCTATTCCCCCCCAGCGGTACATGGCCACGTCCTTGTTCGGTGTCGCTCCTCTGGGCATCATGTTGTACAACGTGCGTTTACATGTTGGTAAGAAGTCTGAGGCTTCGGAGGCAAGCGCTGATTCCTCTTGCTTCGCGGCGTGCACGTCCAGAGCGTGTAGAGTATGTGTGTTTGTGGCCTCCTGGAGGCCTCGTGGGGCCCACTTCGGGCGCTCTTGGGCTGTCGGGCGCCTTCGGAGGCCATCTTGGGGGCCTGTCTGGGTCGTCTTCGTGGGTTCTCGGGCGGAGACTACGCTGGACTTGGCTTGATCGCACCAGCTGCCTCGCCCGTTGCATCTGCTTCGCTCTATTGGTGTCTCATCGGGCCGCAGACGCGACATTATGGTTTGTTTGTTTGTTTGTTTGTTTGTTTGTTTGTTTGTTTGTGTGTTTGTGTGTTTGTGTGTATGTGTGTTTGTGTGTTTGTGTGTGTGTGTTTGTGTGTTTGTGTGTTTGTGTTTGTGTGTGTGTGCGTGTGCGTGTGCGTGTGCGTGTGCGTGTGCGTGTGCGTGTGCGTGTGCTTGTGCGTGTGCGTGCGTGCGTTTGTTTGTGATGTAGGGCAGGATGGTCCAGGTCGCCTGTGGGCCTTCAGAGGCGCCGACTCTGGATGAAAGGCGGGCCTCTGGTGAGGTGTCCGAGGGCTCGGGGTCAAGCGACTCGAACAGCATCGAGTCGTCACAGGCCTGGGCGTGGACATCGGGAGGGGGGAGAGGATCAGAGGAGGCGGCGGTATCTTTCAGGCGATCGCAAACATGGATTAAGGGGGCGTGGATTAGCGACGGGTCCCGTTTCCATGGGACACCGCGGGTTGTCGCCGCCGAGCGAGGCGGCACCGGCTGCATTTCGGGGAGGACACCTCCCCCGATCCGTGGATTTGGCGACCGCGCGCCAAATCCATGGATCGCTAATCCATGTTTGCGCGCCCCCGATTCAGGAGCCGCGCTCTGCGTCCGTGGGGGGTCCTCTCGGAAGCCTTGGATCAGGTGTGCACGCCGATGGCTGAACGTTTTTTTTTTTTTTTTTGCTTTTGTTTTTGCTTTTTGTTTTTTGTTTTGTTGTTGTTGTTGTTGTTGTTGTTGTTGTTGTTGTTGTTGTTGTGTTGAACATTATTACTTCTAAAGAATAATTATTGTTGGGACCCCTGGTGCACGGCCCCCCCGCCGCGCCTAGGCCGCAGCCACATTTTCATCATTTTCGAGCGAAAGCCCTTGACAAAACGATGTGATCCAGATCCGGTTGTTTTGTTCCCCCCCGCTTTCCCTTGCAAAAAACAATATAAAATGACTTTTCTTGTTCTAACATAACCAAACTTCAGGAATTCATTGCAAAAAATGACACAAAGTGCACATTCGCGCGCGCAAGACGAAATCTTTCCAAAACCTTAGTTATCGTAGCGATTTTAACATAAAAACATCAAACAACCCAATGGTTTTTCAAACAAATATATGAAAATTCTATCCCGCGCGCTCTTGCGGATTCGTAGGAAACCCAACACTTTTTTAACATTTCTGTCAAAAGGGCTTTTGCGAGCAACTTTTTCGAACTTCTGCAACAACGCTTGCGCACCTGCCAGGGCCATCATCCCTGTCAAATAATACCATGCGGGACACATTCGTTTTTTCTTCGCGCGCGCACGCCGTCGTCGTCGGCCGCGGGGCCCTGAATAGTAGCCACGGTCGTCCGCATGCCACGAAGTGAAGTGTCCGAACGTCATAGGGCGGGAAGCTGGGTGTGGGTGGTGGCGAAGAGTCGTTTGGAAATTTGGTAGAGCTTGAACCGGCCCCCCCACAAAGTGGGGGTATTGCCCGCCTCCTATGAAAACCCTGGCACTGGTGAGAACGGAGTGTCCCCACGTGCTAGTAATTGTTGTTGTTGTTGTTGTTGTTGTTGTTGTTGTTGTTGTTGTTGTTGTTGTTGTTGTTGTTGTTGTTGTTGTTGTTGTTGTTGTTGTTGTTGTTGTTGTTGTTGTTTTTGTTTGTTGTTGTTGTGCGCCCCAGAATCTTTTTTGTCCCCCTAAGGTCGGGGGCGACGTCGGGGGAGATCGCCTCCGCGGGGAGCGCATCGACCCCCGATCGCCCACAGACATCGCCGAGAGGGGAGGGGCCCGATGGTCCGCCCCGCTCGGGCCGACGTCGGGTGCCGAGCGCCGGTTCATCGGCGACGTATCGTCGATTCCAGGTCGACGTATCGTCGATTCCAGGTCGACTCAAGGAGGATACATCGCCGATCTATCGGCGATGTATCCTCCTCCTCCTCCTCCTCCTCCTCCTCCTCCTCCTCCTCCTCCTCCTCCTCCTCCCCCCCCTGCACGTTGCCCCTCTGTGCCCGCAGGAGTTGGCCCTCCAGGCCTACCAGCACCATGCCCACGCCCAGAAGCTGAAGCTCCAGAGGGAGCTCTCCACATCCTGCCGCCCGCGCTCCTCACCTCCACACCTCCACACCCCTCCGTCCTCATTGCCCCCCCCCTCCCCCTCCCCCTTCCCTCTTCCCTCCTCCCTCCTCCCGCCTCCCTCCCTACCTCCTCCTCCTCCTCTTCCTCCTCCTTTTCCTCTCCTCCTCCTCCTCCTCCCTCCTCCTCTTCTCCTCCTCCTACCTCCTCCCTCCCCCTCCTCCCCTCCTCCTCCCTCCTCCCTCCTGCCTCCTCCCTCCTCCTCCTTCCTCCTGTTCCTGCTTGTCAAACGCGAGCCCCATTTTGGCAGGGGAGGGCCGCCCTTCATGCGTGCAGTTGTCGCGCAGCTGTTCCTGCGATGGCCCCATCTTGAAATGGTGCCGTCCTTCACCAGTGTAGATTTGAAGGCGGGCGTGTCTCCCTACAAGGGGATGTTCGACGAAACATCAGAAAATACTCAAAGCATATGACCAAACTGGCCAAACATTGTCAAGAAATTGCCCCCATTTTTAATTCAAAAACTAGTTTTGAATTTTCCTCCTGTAGAGGGACGGGCCCGACTTAAGCGCAGATGTTGCAACATGTATCTGAAGGGCTTCGCCCCCTGCAGTCGCCCACCCCTCGGACTGCTCGCGCGGCCACGCTTTAGATCGATTGGCTGGTTGGTTTTCTTGTCGGCTGGCCAGCTGGCAGCTCGGCGGATTGGCTCCTCGTCTAAGCTGAGGCTCGGTAGCTGATTTGGGCTGTTGGCGGGCTGCCTGTTTGCGCGCATCTTTACCGGAGGTGGATCGACCTCCTACCCTGACACGTCGATTAAGGAATTGGCCGTTTTCGGTTCGCGAGAGGGCGTCGCGGCCGTCATTTTTGCGGGTCCAGGTCCGTCGGTTTCGGTCCCAGGCCGTTTTCACTAAGGGGAGGTTTACCAAAGGGAGGCTCGTCCACCGCCGACTTTAGTATTTTGATTAGGGATAATGGCCTCGGGAACGCGCTTGGACTGCAGTTTTCAAGGGTTCGCGGCTTCGGGAGCGCGCACCCCGAGATGTTTTGGAGGATTCGTTGCCTCGGGTCCAGAGCCGAATTCTCAGGAGACGACGGGGTGGAAGGCGAACAGCGCTCCCCGCCGTCGTCGTCGTCGTCGTCGTCGTCGTCGTCGTCGCCGCCGCCGCCGCCGTCATCGCCGTCGTCGCCGTCGTCGCCGTCGTCGTCGTCGCCGTCGTCGTCGTCTTCGTCGTCGTCGTCCACCCCCCATCCCGTCAGGGGTGGGCGAGGGGGCTCGTGGAGCTTTGGGACCCATTCCATCTGGGGCCTTGGGCCCGCAGCCCTCCATCATATGTCCCAATGCAGGTTGTGGCACTTTCTGAATTTGTTTTCTCATGACGTGTTGGATTTATTGCAGTGGCCGTTTGAGCCAGGAGGTTGGGGCTCTGATATACACACGCATGAGATGTATATGTGCGACCGCGGCCCGATAAGTTTTGATGGCAATTCGTATGGGGGAGGCCTTGCGGCCGGTGCCGCCGACTTTGAAGGGGGACGACGACGACGACGACACTGACGCTTTGAGCCCTTCTTGGGGCTCTCTTGAGAGCCAGTTGGGCTCTGTTTGGGGGCCTCTTGGGGCACTTCTTGGGAAGCACTGTGGCCATTTGGAGCCGCCTCGGAGCGGATCAGAGGCCCTTTCTTGGAGGCGTGCGGAATAATACGCATCACCCCGCAACAACATAAAAGCGTGAGTAGGGTGCCTCCGGGGGGGGGATTCGGGGGAGGGGTGTGTGGTGGTGGTCCCTTTGTCCACATGGGGGAGGCGGGGAGAGAGCCCTGAGTTCCCCCTGTCTACAAGAGGACCACCCGATACGTTTTGAGGGCAATTCGTATTTGTCGTCTTCTTACTCCTGCCGGTCTCCTCCCCGTCTTCCTCCTCTTCCTCATCCGCTCGTGTGGGGCATTTGTGCGAGTACCCCAGGCTAAGCCCTGGCTGGTCTCCGCATTCGCTAGCTTTGATAATTTCCTCCTCCCTCCTCCTCGATTTGTCGTGCCTCCGTCTTCCGCAGTGGGGCAGGATTTGTCCTTCCCGGCCGGTGCTTGCAGAAGGCAGTATGTCATTTTTGGATGTATCGGTCTATCCTCGATTCGAGGCCCAGTTGAGTTCGTTTCTCTCTTTCCTACTCCTCCTCTTTCCCCCCTCCTTCCTCAGCTGAGTTGCGACATGCATAGCCAGGGGCCGTTCATTCAAGGTTTGCCCGTAGGGCTGTTGACTCGACGTTTGCCCCCAGTAGTGCGGCATACGTTCCTGCCACATGGCAGGTTGAGGTGGTTGGAGCCTCCAACCACCTCAACCTGCCAACGTACCTCCAACTTGGAGGTATCGTCATGCTGTCCGCCCTCGTAGGGTGGGTTCGTGGCCTCGGGGGCACACCTGTCGCAGGTTGCAGGAGTTGTGGTCTCGGGAGGGCGACCGCGCTATGATCTGCTGAGGACTGCGGCGAGAGCGCTGCCCTCGGTCCTCTCGCCCCCGCCCCCCCCCTTCCTCCTCCTCCTCCTCCTCCTCCTCCTCCTCCTCCTCCTCCTCCTCCTCCTCCTCCTCCTCCTCCTGGGGATATTGGGAAGGGAGGGGGTAGGGAGTGGGGATAGGATCGGCGGCGCGCCCAGGGGGGGGAAGTGGGGAGGGGCGGGCCTTCCGAGAAGGCTCGGCAGCCCCCCCGCCTTCTGAGGAGTTCTCTGAGCCTTCCTCTCGAAGACGCAGAAACCTTCTCGGAGGGCGCGAGGGGCTCCTGCGAAGTCCCAGCGCCTTCTGAGAAGGCCATCTCCTTCTCACTCCCCCCCCCTCGCTCGCCGCCGATAGGAGGGGGTGCGGCACAGGGAAAGGAGGGAACGGGGAGGGCACAGGCGAGGGGGGGGAGCGGCAGGGAATGGAGGAAGGAGGGGGGGGGGGCGTAGGGGATAGGGAATAGGGAATAGGGAAAGGAGGGGTTTGCGGAGCCTGATGCGTGCAGCCGATGCGTGGGCGCCTTTCGCGCCGCGAGGCGCGGGCCGCCCTGTCGAGGAAGCGCAGACATGGATTACAGTCGGACCGAGGCATAAGATCGAGGCCCGTTCGGGGAGGGCACCCTAGTGTCCTTCGCGTTTGTTGTATGTTTTTTTGTGCGCCCTGTGGAGGGTTTGTTTTGACCGACGGGGGGTTTCGTGTTCTTGAAGGATGTCCTTCTGGCCTAGGTCCGACTGTAGCGACGCGTGGGTCAGCGACGGGCCCCGTTTCCGTATGCGCTCTGTGGCCAACTCGGGCGGCTTTGGCCTCGGATTTCGGGGGTCGCCTTCGCCGATCCGTGGGTTCGTCGCACACGCGCCGGATCCACGGATCCCTGATCCATGTTTGCGTGTGCCTCTCCTTTGCTACCCCCCTCTCGTCCGACCCGACCCCCAGGAGATCGACGAGGCGGAAAGAGACAAGGAGAAGGCCCTGAAGGAACACCACGAGGCCGCCCTCGCTGCCGCAGCTTAGCGCGCGCGCGCCCGCGCCGAGGAGTGAGGGACACCTCTTCGCCCTCCACCCCCTCGTCTCTCCTCCCTCCTCCCTTCTCTCTCTCCTCACTCCTACCTCTTCCTCCTCCTTCTCGCTCCCTCCCTCCTTCCCCTCCTGCCCCTCACTCCCTCTCTCCTCGCGCGCGCTGGAATGTTCGTAAGAGGGAGAAGGGAGGCGGAGGAGGAGGAGGAGGAAGAGGAGGACGAGGAGGAGGAGGAAGAGGAGGAGGAGGAGGAGGAGGAGGAGGAGGAGGAGGAAAGGGGAGGAGGTGGAGGACTCGATTAAAGCAAATATGCATTAGCGCTGCTACAATAACCATACCGCCCCAAGTGCCCTCATACGTTCCTACAAGCTCCCCTGTTCACAAGGTGAAGCGCCCCCCTGAAGACCAGCACAATTGGGCCTGCCATTTTGGCGAGGGTCGCTGCCGTGCACCTTTCTGGCGCATGATCAGAAACGCGAGCAACTGTGATCGTGCAGCCCAAGGAGGCGTCCCGCCAGATCCCCCGTTCGAAGCAGGACCGGCCCCGAGCCGCGTGCGGCCGTTGCTCACGCCTGCGCTCGTGGTCCTGGACGTCGCCCAGGCCTCGAGCGGCAGCCCCCGTCTCGAAAGCGAGCCGCCCTGGACGCGTGCAGCGCCGCACGCGCAGCAGACGTCGGGGCTCGCGACGAGACCGACGCGTCCAGCGAGGGCCGCGTGTTTCAGGAGGGGAACAAACACACAGCACAGACACAATTAATCGTCGATCCCCAGGAAAAGATAAGAAAATATGGGAATTGTGGGGGGGGGAAGGCGAAAACCCAGAAAATATGAGAAAGTATGGGGAATTACTTTATTTGTGTGCATTTATTGGTGTGTCCCAGGGCCCCTTCAGTGCTGCAGGAAAAAGAGGGCAGCCTCCTCGGCCTCGGGAGCGACCGGTGCGCGGCTCGCGGCCGAGAGAGAGCCCTGCCGTGGAGGCGGCCCGTGGTCCGTCCTCGAGGCCTGCTGCGGGCCGGTGAGGCGAGAGTGTGCACGGCCACGGCGGCGAGGCGAGGGCCCCACGGCAAGCGTAGCGCCCTCCACCCTGTGGAGCGACCTCGAGGTGCTAGGCCGAGTGTGCGCGGCTCGAGGGCGAGAAGACCATCCCGAAGAAGAGCCGCTTCCATCCTTGAAGCTGTTGCAGGCTTTGGAAGCGGATGTGCGCGTCGTGAAGGCGAGAACCAGATTTCGAAGAAGACCCGCCTTCCATCCATTCTTGAAGTTGCTGCGCTATTTCAAGACTGATGTGCGTGGCGCTCAAGCGAGAGGCACGTTTTGAAAAGGAGCCGCCCTCTATCCTTGAAGCTGATGCAAGCTGTTCAGGCGAACGTGCGTGGCACTGGGCGAGGTCGCCATTTCGACCCCCCCCCTTCATTCCTGAATTTGCTGCGAACAAGGAACCCTTTTCGTTGGTAGTCCCAGCAGCTTGCCGTAGGTTGTCCTTAGGGTTTCGATGGAGAATCGAAGCTTAACGTATGGAAAAAATGGGCCCCGTTCCTTATTTAGGGTTCCTTAGGCCCCGACTGTAAGACCAATGTGCGTGGCGCTCAGGAGGCGCGAGCCAGATTTTGAAAGAAGCCTCCTCTCCATCCTTGAATCCGATACAAGCTTTTAAGACGAATGTGTGCGACGCTCAGGCGAGAGCGACAGTTCGAAGCAGAACCCCGTACATCCTTGAGGCTCTTGCAAACTTTCAGAGCGATTGTGCGTAGCGCCAAGACGAGGGCCACATGTATACCCCGCCCTTTTATCCTTGAAGCGGTTGTAATCTTTTCAACCAGTGTGCGCGGCGCTGAGGCGATAAAACACATTTCTAAAGCGAGCCGCCCCCTATCCTTTAACCGTACGCAGGCTTTTGAGAGATTTGTGAGCGGCATGGCATGAACGCGAGAGCAACATTTTGAATAAGTCTTGTGCTCCATCTTTGAAGCAGTTGCAAGCTGTTAAGACGAATGTGCGCGGCGCTAAGGTGCTACATGCGTTTTGAAACCGACGCCTCTCCATTCTCTCCCTCCCTCCCTCCCTCTCTATTCTTCATCCTCTTCTCTTCTTGTCATGTCGGACGCTGCCTCGACCTCCTGTTGATTTGCAATTGTGGAGTCGAAGATGCCACGTACGGACGGTAGGGATATCGGGGTGCGCTCGAGCCAGGTTCGCTATTGCAGGTGCGGATCCCCTAACACATTCGGCGGCAATGTGAAAATCCTAAGGTTGAATTTCCTACGTGATCTGGGGGCTGTAAATCGGCACCCGTAAAGACATCCCTCTTTATCATTGTACCCTATTAATATACACCCCTCCCCCTGGAGACTGGGAGCCAACCCGAGCCCATGCGGGCCCGCCCACCATCCCTTGTAAAACAACAATACAAAACACGCTCTGCTTCCAAATTCGGAGCATGCGCAGCGAACCCGATGCGGCCCCCCCCCCACCATCCTTGTCAAAAAACAATGCAGAATACAGTTGGCGGCGGCGGCGGCTGCGGCGGCTGCGGCGGGGGCAGCGGCTGCGGCGGCTGCGGCGGTGGCGGCGGCGGTGGCGGCGGCGGCGGCGGGGGCGCGCGGCGGCGGCGCGGCGGCGGCGGTGGCGGCGCGGTGCGGCAGCGGCTGCGGCGGCAGCGGCTGCGGCGGCGGCGATTCGGCAGCGGGGGCGGCGGCGGCGGCGGCGCGGGCGGCGCGGTGGCGGGCGGCGGCGGCGGACAGCGGCGGCGGCGGCGGCGGCGGCGGGCGGCGCGGCGGCGGCGGCGGCGGCGGCGGCGGCGGCGGAGGCGGCGGCGGCGGCGGATTCGCCCCCAGTAGCTGCCCATCCAAAGACGACTGCTGAATATGCTGCGGCTCGGGCCAGGCTCGGGTGCTACGTATGTGTTGGGAGGGCGGGTGGGAGTGAGCGAGACGGCTTGTGGACGGGGGGGGAGTCTCGACACCACCCCACCCCCACTCCCACCCATTTCAGACCACACAGCAACATTAACATACAACTGCATGTTGTTAAGACGAACGTTTTTGGTGCGTAAGCGAAAGCAGCATTATGAAAACGACCCGGCTTCTCTCCTTGAAACACCTGTAATCTCTTCATAAGGTTAGCCGTTGGGGACCCATGGTGCAATCTATGTTGGGCACTACATGTGGTGCAATATACGTGGTGCGATCTATATGGTGTAACTCACTTTGACCGTCTGGAAGTTGTCAACTCCACTGCTCGCGCAAACATCCCACCCACCCACCCGCAACTTGGCTTGCAACATTTCTTAAGACCGTGACGGTGTGTACCAACGACAGCGACGCCGACGACGACAGCGACAACGACGACGACGACGCCGCCGACAACGACTACAACAACACCGACGACGTCTCCAACGACTTCGACGATGCCGACGACGACAACGACGACGACGACGACGCCGACGACGACGACGACGCCGACGCCGACGAAGCCGACGACGACGACAACGACGACGACGATGACGACGCCGACGACGACGACAACGACGACAGCGACAACGACGACGTCAACGACGCCGACGACGACGACGACGACGACGACGGTGGCGACGACGACGCCGACGTCGACGACGACAAGACGACGACGACGCCGACGCCGACGACGAAGACGACGACGACAACGACGAGGGAGGAGGGAGGACGGCGACGACGCGAACGACGAAGAACGAGGGAGGACGGCGACGCCGACGACGACAACGACGAGGGAGGAGGGAAGACGACGACGACGACAACGACGACGACGACGACGACGGCGACGAAATAGGAGGGACGACGACGAGACGCCGACGACGGACGACGGCGACGACGACGACGAGGGAGGAGGAGGATGGACGACCACGGAGGGAGGAGGAGGATGGACGACGACGAGGGAGGAGGAGGGAGGACGACGACGCCGACGACGACAACGACGAGGGAGGAGGGAAGACGACGACGACGACAACGACGACGACGACGACGACGACGACGACGACGGCGACGAAATAAAAGGGACGACGACGAGACGCCGACGACGGACGAGGAGGAAGGACGACCACGGCGACAACGACGACGGAAACGACCACGACGCCAAAGAGGACGACGACGACAAACACGAGGAAAGACAGAGGACGACGTAGGCGACGACGACGACGACGCGGGAGGAGGGAGGACGGCGACGACGACGACGATGACGATGACGACGCAAGAGCTCGCGGGCACGCTTTTGTTGAAAATCCGTGTTGCGAAACCTTGTGTTTTTTTTTTTGTGTGTGTGTGTGTGTGTGTGTGTGTGTGTGTGTGTGTTTTTGGACACACGATTTTGAAATCCTGTCGAAACTGATGGGTTTTGAAGGATTTCGGCATACGCGCGCGACGACGCGCGCGTCTGCACTTCGTCCCATTTTGTTGCAAAGGATTCTCGCGACGGCACACGCGCAAGGGCGTTCGACAGACTTCGACATGCGCGCGCGAAGCCCGTTTGAGTGCATTTTGTGAAAATCTTGAGAAACTATGGTTTTCTTACGATTTCGCAAGAGCTCGCGCGGAATCTTTTTTAGCACATCCGTGTTACGAAGTCCTTTTTTTCCCGGAAAGGGCTTAAGCCCAGGGTTCTCTTTTAGTAGGTAAACCTGTCCCCCGGTGCCTGCTTGAAGGAGGCCGGCGAATTTTTTCCCTGATAAATAACGAGGTCGAAGGAGGCCGGCGAATTTTTCCCTGATAAATAACGAGCCCGCGAATTGAGGATGTCTCGAGCGAAACGCTTGTTTTTGAGCGCCCGCGAATTAAAATTTGAGGATGTCTCGAGCGAAACGCTTGTTTTTCAGAATTTGTCGAGGATGTCTCGAGCGAAACGCTTGTTTTTCAGAATTTGTTTTTTCTACCCCCTAGCACGACACCCCAGCACGACCACACCCCAGCAGGACCCCAGCACGACCACACCCCAGCACGACCAC